ACAAGAGCATCATTTTGCCAGTTCTTCTTTATGGAGCGGAATGCTGGAGAATGACCGAAAAGGAGGCACACAAGCTGTCCACCTTCCACCACACATGTCTACGTAGAATTATCAAAATTTTCTGTCCAGATACAATCACAAACACTAAACTACTTCAATTCACAAACCAAGAAACTTTAGACAGTATGATAACCAAGAGAAGATGGAAATGGCTTGGCCACATTATGAGAAGGAATCCTGATATACCTGCCAAAACAGCTCTCACATAGACACCAGAGGGAAAGAGAAAACAGGGGCGCCCAAAAACAACATGGAGACGAACGATAGAAAGTGAACTGAGTGCGGCATCTTTGACATGGAAAACTGCACTGAAGATTGCACAGGACAGGAGAGCATGGAAAGTCCTCTCTAAAGCCTCATGTGCCACTAGACACAACGAGAACTGATCCTAATGAAACAGAATTGGTTATTTAAACTGTGGCTAGAGGAATGACACTTTTTCAATCTTGTCCTGATCACGTGACCTTCATTATTTTTGGAAACATGGCTGCATCACGTAGGTAGCTAGGAATATGTATCTAACAAACACTTACTGTTGTTGTGGCACAGCGGCATAAAGAGTGACTAATTCGTGCTTTAACATAGTTCATACAGGCCAGGAACTGTTAACCAGACTTAAAGGGAAAATGATCTGACTGCTTAGAAAAGGAATAGCCAAGCTTAATGCCGGCTATTGGATTGGTGTTTTGCAATATTGTATTGTGGGTTCGATTATTGATAAATAAATGATCTCTCCTCTGGCATCTGTCAAGCGATTCTCCTCTGCTCCACTTTTGTGTTTTAATTGATTATCAGTGTATGTGACTATGTTTATTCGAAACCATGTATAATGTATGTTATTATAACTTTTGGCAATGTATATTCAGGGACATAGTATTAATTATTTGAGTAACATAAGTCGATTTTTTTTTTTTTTTTTTTTTTTTTTTTTTTTTACGTATCCAGAAACCATGAGTTGTAAACCCTTTGGCTCGGTACTATGGATATCGCAACCCTTCGGCCTTGATTCCATTATAGGTACCGTTTAATCTGGGAGAAATGTGGCTTTTCTGCCCACCCGGGAGTGAACCCGGACCACAAGGAGTTCGTCACCCGGCCGCCGCGAAAGTCAGGTTTAACCAACTTCGCTAGAGAGCCGGGCAAAACATAAGTCGATAAACAACGTCTTCATAATCTACATCGGGAGATAATATCAATAATAGTAAAGTATAGTAATGACTACTAACACACAAAAAAAGAACAGCATGACTTATAACAAGACTTGAAATTCACACAACACATATTTATCTTTTCATCACTAATAAAGAAAAAAAATACACACGAAAAATGGACAGTAAGCAGACAAACTGAAAAAATAAAAAAATTGCAGTGGAAATAGAGTGACTGAGAAAAATGCAAAGAAATTCAGTTAGGGTGTAGGAAAAAATAAACAAGGCGATACTTAGTATTTGTATTTGCTCGTGAATCCCAGCCATCTAGTTCAGCCCCTTCCGCGCCGCGCGGAGATACTCTCGGAGGTGGCACTATAGTCGGCGAAAAGTGGTCCGCAACTTACATATAACTGTGGCCCTGCCGTAGGATAGCGCTGTTGGGAGTATTCTTGCGTGTCGCTAATTTTTCGTATGTAGTTAATCCTAGTTTTGTCGACATTTAATCGGCGTAAAAAATCTGTTGCGTTTCGCGAAAATGTTGTGCGCAATTAATCCTACTTTTGACGTGGTTGATTCGCCACAAAAGAAATGCAAATTTTAGATATGAGTGAGGCTCTGTTAGGGTTTACTTTCTGTGTAGATCATTTGCGACCGTTATTTGGAGGAGAGCCAAAATATAATTTAAAAATATTTGTGTTCACAGTAGATCAGATATTCACTGAATATTAGAATAACAGCTAACAAATAATATTTGTATTTTTGTGGATTAAAAACAAAGCAACAACAAAAACATAGTCACTATAGTGTACATAGGAATAGTTTGTGAAATGCTGTGCAGGAAGTTGGAATACCAAAAATGTTAATCAGTATGAACAGACTATGCATGGCGGACGCTTATAATAGAGTAACACACGAAGGCAGAAAATATACCATTTTCAAATAACATTTTGTTCAAAGCAAGGTGATTCTCTGTCCCCGCTTCATTTCAAATCACATAGCTATGGTTGTAGAAAAGAATTTGTGGCACTAAAAATACTGACTCTTAAGAGAAAGTAGCTACATACAAATTTGACTAGTTGTCAATCAAGATAAGACAGAAGACATGTTAATAACAGGATAGGAAAATTATAAAATCAACAGCTACATGCAAATAGATATAAAAATCAGAACGAAAACATACACATACTAGTACTTGGGTAAAAATTTAAACTGCTTGAAATTACTAAGAGAACAAATCATCATGTAGCAGGTCCTTTGCAGAAGGTCAGTCTCATCACAATCTGCCTGAAAGAAACTCATCTCTCGCCAACTCTCCTGCCTCATGTACTTTCATACTCGAGGAGTCACTTATATCCTGTGCCCATCTTCGTTTTGGTCGGCCTCTGCCCCTCCTTTCTGGTACCATGCCTTCAGCTATAATTTTTTCCAATCCACCGTGGCGCTTGAAATACTTTTCAGCTTCAACTATTTCAGCTTCTGAGACAGGATGCTGTTTATTAGCCAATCTTCCTTGATGTTCAGATCTTTCAAGATGTCAGTATTTCTCCTTTTCTTTGTCCAAGATATTCTGAGAATCTTTCTATAGCACTTCAGTTCAAAAGCCCCTATTCTCTTTCTTAAGAGAAGAAATACAATCTGCAAATAAAATATACAGTGCCCTTCAAAATCTGTTAAAATCAAATGATCCGTATCATAACACCCAGATCACAGTATATAAAAACACCATAAAACTAACTGATAAAGCGAAAGTGGTGAAGTCTCTCTGGTATTAAGTGCACTGTGCAACAGAACAGACCAAGGACCCATACACTGACAGACTATTTCAGCAAGGGGGGGGGGGGGGGGGGTGAAGGGGGTCTGGAAGACATTCAAAACTGATGAAAACAGAGGCAGACTTTTAATGTGGCTGCAGCAAGTACTATTAGCATATCCACTCTTCCTTGGCTATTGAAGAAGGAGGCGGAACACGTATGGGAATGTCCCTAGTGCAGGGATGTCAGTTACTAATTCATTCATTAATTCATTGTTTTATATAGCTCTTAATACTGGAGGACAGATACAAGAGTCTTAAATGAATCATTGGATCCATCAAAGATGTAAGCAGCAGAAAATGGAGAGTGAGAAGCAACACCGGAATTAATAATCTGTTTAAATTACCACTAATTTTTGGGCTCATAAGGGCTAATGAGAGCCATCATGGTGTAGCGGCTAGAAGCTTGCCTGTGGATTGGAAGGTCGTGTATTCAGGTCCTGACGGAGCAGTACTTTTTAAGAAACATAAACTTGGCTCTCAGGTTCCTATCCTTGAGTGGGTACTAGGCACAGTCCAGGGAAGCAAAGGTGGCCGGGGTGATGCTAACCACATCACCCACCCAGTTACGATTGTTCTATAAAATATAGGTCTAGCCCTGTATGCCCAAAACACCTGAAGGTTTGGAAAAGGATCCTTCACTTACTTACTTTACACGATGGCTAATAGACTGCGATGGTTGGTGCATATAAAGAGAATGCCAGACAAGAGAGAGAGAGCGAAAGAGAAAGAAAGAGAGAGATTAAAACTATGTAAACAAAACAATTAAATGGGAGTAGACCACAAAGTAGATCAAGAAGATTGTGGAAAGATAATATACAGGAAAACTTGCAAACACAAGGGAATGAGCAGCTGGAATGAGAAAGCAAATCACAGATGAGTGAACGTGGACAGTATTTGCAGCAGTAAACCCCAGGGGCTCTGTCTTGAGAATGAAGGGAAAGAAGAACAATATATTTGTGTCTGCTGCTCACACATAGAATGTGTGTCATTAATTGTCAGTTATTTATGATACAGTTTGAAAATGTCATCACTCCCCCTGTGGGTTCTAGGGCCATTTGAGGAAAAAGGAGAGGGGTGTGGAGGTGCACTGCCTCTAAAAGGACATGTCATAAAAGGTAACTAGTTGAAGGTTTGCTGAAAGGCGCAGATATCACAACCTAGCTGTTTAGGTTTAAACAACGGATCAACATGGCACAAGAGTACTAACCCAGAAGTGCTCACTTCTTATTCTGACTCAAGCCTTAGTCCACAAAATCTCAGTGCAGCGCAGTGCACAAACTCTGTTGCACCGGTGAGGTTCCTCAAATACTTTGGGTAGATTTTTAAATTTTGCCCGAGTTTTCCAACTGCCATTGGATTTTTTACATGCGCAACAATACACATGGTCGTCCGATCTTACTACCCAGATATATTAAAGTTGGGGTGCATCTGCCTGAGAGGCAAGAAACCAACAGTCTGTGTACAAATAAGCCAGATCTGTAAAACAGATATACAACACACAATTCTGGAACAAGACTTGAAGCCAGAAGGAGACGACCGATGAATGCCAAGAAGAAGATGCAGCAGAAGAAAAAGAAGAAATGTTATAACAGTGTCAGACCCCCCCCCCCCCCCTGGACACATGCTCTTCCCCCCCCCCCCCCCCCCCCCCCCCCCCCCCACCCCCTCCCCCCCCCCCCCCCCCCCCCCAGTCCCTTTTTTCAAAGAATAGAATTGAAATAAAATGCAGAAGAATGCAGGAGGATCCTTGCATGTGTGTTAAGAGAATGTGTTATATAATACTAAATAACCATTTTTCAATATGTATGCACATTTAAAAGAAATGATTACATTTCTGTTCTCTTTAGATTGAAGAGCTAGAGGAGTTTCAAGACTAAGGGTAAACATGAATACAGTTGTGTACCAACTTCCAGAAGCATGAAACAGTTTTGGAGCCATGTTTAAAATAGCACTGTTCACATTGTCGTGATTTGACCATGAGTCAGTTAAAGTTTAAGGGCCGGGGGGCCCTCCTGAAGGCCCGCCAGCCTCCAATACACATGCTGGGTAAACATACACCTGTTGATGAAGATGAACCACCTGATGTACCAGTGCAGGTCAGTCGCTGAGTTAGCTTATTTAATATTTAATTGTGTTTTTCTTCTTACTTGGCGCCGCTAATGTGTAGTGGCTAGATGCTCACTTGTGGATCTGAAGGTCGTGGATTCAATTCTGAACGAAGCCAGTTTAAAAAAAAAAAATGACCTGGGCCTCCAGGTCAGCTCATTCTTGAACATTTGCGAGGTAAAGTCCTGTGAAGTAAAAGATGTTGGCCGCATCAACCACTGAGTGCCAAAATTGTCTGTAAAATATAGGTCTAGTACTGTCTGACCAAAGGAGTAGCTGGCCGTACGGTTAGAACCCTGGGCTCTCACGCGGAAGACTCGGGTTTGAATCTGTGTAAGGCTGGGGATTTTTTCTGTTGGGGGCTTAATAAAATCCTCACCTGCACAGTCGTGGCGACAGCACTAACCATGCGCTGAAAATCCTTAGGCTCAAAGATCCCCCGGCCTACACCGCAAAGTGATATCACTAAGATAGTATTACAAAGGTAGTAATTGGCAGTTTTCACTATATGGCCAATATTCCGTAAGACATGGAATTCCCTTTGCTTTTACTTTTCTTCTTTCTGTGGTACACAGGGTCCCATAACAGACTGAGGTGTGAAGTGTTAGGCTTTCACACATTCTGTACCAGGGGTTCTCAATCTATAGGTCACGACCCTTTTGGGGATCGAACGACCCTTTCACGGGGGCGCCAAAGACCATCGGAAAACATATTCACTGAAGTTATAAAGTGGCAACGAAAATAACTGTATGGTTGGGGGTCGCCGCATTAGGAAAGTTGAGAACCACTGTTCTAGGCCATAGCATTTGTGGTAGGGTGATCAGTTCTCTTTCCCGTACATTTTACGGAAAACTATAAATTATCCAGTATCCATTTTTTCAGAGGCTGGTTCGATCCTTCCAGAGCTGAGCTGGTTGGAAAAAGACCCTGCCAGGGTTTTAACCACTATCTTGACACAAAAGCACTGTTTCTGCAGTGCTGCCTTCAAATAATGTTCCTCAGGTCTATGATTTCAAATAATAAATAATCATTTCATATTCAGAGTAGTTAAATATGCTGATTGTCATAAAAAGAGGATGACAGGAAAAGAGATCAAAGGTTTGAGGTTGTGCCAGAAGAAAAGAAAATATATGGGTGCTAGAAATACGAAGTTATCATGGAAGGGAATTCAGAAGTTTGAGATTGTTCTAGAAGTACGAAGTTATGGAAAGAAAATAATAGGTCTGAGGTTGCGCCACAAGAAAAATAAAAGTATAATGGGTGCTAAAAGTACGAAGTAATGGAAAGGAACTCAAGAGCTTGAGGTTGCACCACAAGAAAAATTAAAAGTATAATGGGTGATAGAAGTACAAAGTTATGAAAAGAAATTAAAAGGTCTGAGGTTGCGACACAAGAAAAATTAAAGTATAATGGGTGCTAGAAGTACAAAGTTATGGAAAGAAAATAAAAGGTCTGAGGTTGCGTCACAAGACAGTAGAAAAGTATAATGGGTGCTAGAAGTACAAAGTTATCATGTCTTTTCTAATTACTGACTTTGAGAAATGGAACAACAAATTCCAGGACCAGTTTGTTTTTAATCGACATCTGTATCTGTGCATTAATTGTTAAAATCATGCATGTGTTAAATTTACTCATGCTTCTTTGGCACTAGAATTCACTGTACCTGCCTTGAGACAAAAGAAAATGGAATCTGTGATCTTAAAATATTTGGTTACGAACATTATGAATGAAATACATAGTTCCTCATTGTGTACTGTCCAGTGTGCTTCTGTTGACAGAAGCACCAGTCACTGATCACTGTTGCCAGTTTGCAATGTTTTTTAGACTGATAGTTTACGGTAGCTAATAAATGACAGAATGCTTCTTAAAGTTCATATTCTCTGCATGCCCCATTGCTGAACCGTATCTTTTTACTGCAATTTGTGTACATATTTACAGATCAGAAATGCAAGATATTATGTCTGAAACTAGATGATGATGATTTTCTAATTAGAACAACTTGTATCATCTCACACTGAAGTGTGTCTTATGAAGATGCTAGCTCCTTCATTTTTGTTTGCCCTCTTTCTTGATGTATGCATATTTGTAAATATTTTCTTTCCATGCTCTACATTAGTGATCCTGTCATACAATTTAATTACCTTTATATAAAGTATTTAAATCAAATCCCTCGTAAATGGAAATTTTGAAATGCATTTTCTGTTATTATGAGAAGAAAGAGGAGAGTGTGCTTTCTAACTAACATTTCATTAGTTTATAATCAATTTGTGTTGTGAACAGGCATTTGGTTTTGACACAGACAGTGATAATTCTTCATCATTTGTAACGACTTTTGATGCTGCTGATGCAGAAGATGCCAGCAAATATCTTAGGAAGGCATTTAATATACTTCAACCTGGATACCATGCATGCAAAAGAATGCCAGAAATGGATGGCGGATACTTCAGTCATTGCCCTAGGTATTTTGTTTTTCATTTACTAAAATATTCTTTGCTCTCTTTTATTTATTTGACTTTTAATATAATGGTGAAAGTAAATAAAGGATCTTTTACACACCATTGCATCGGGCATTGAACCCATATTTTTAAAGACCAAATGGCACTCACTGGATTATCTGGTCAACATTGCGCTGGCCACCTTCACTTCACAGGACAATTCCTGGTACCCATTTTAAGCTGGGTATTGTTTTTATGCCTCTTGTACTCTAATGAAGACTAGGCCCTCAACCAGCTCACGCTGAGCCATTCTATCTTTTGTCCGCTGCAGTCTCTTTTGATCTTAGTTGGCTGTGTTAGTCTCTTGTCTTTTTCTTCTATGTGCTCTTGGTCAGTCTGCAGTTTTTTACTAGGGCGGAAAATGGGGCTGGAGAGGGGGGGGGGCATGTTAGTTTTTGTTAGTTGCATTTCATGGTTAGTTTGGTAGGTTTACAGTCTTGTTATATTTGGCTTCCCTTGAAGGGCTGCAGCAACATATCAGTGTCAGTCAGTTTCAGAGGCTGCTCTTGTCAGCGTTGTATCTGGCTACCAGTAGTTGTAGCCAGTTGTTGTTTGTTGGCATCTTTCCAGGTGATAGTGTTAAAGTGTGCTGTGGGGAGAGATGGTAATCACAGCCCATGGTGATGGGAAGTGTTGCAAGCAGGACCTGCTGGCGTTAGGAAAAGTGTAGCACAGTTAGAGTATGGGATGTCAGGACCGTTGTTGCCATCACATAGTGTGCTTATTCTCAGACTCTCAGCTCTCAACCTGTCTGCAATAATTTTTCCTTGATTTCCATTTCCTTCCTGATTTTTTCCCCTCCCCACAACATGGTCCTTGGCATTTTGTTCCACAAATCTACCTTTGTCATGCATGTCCCAGTTGCATACATCTTTATATCAAAGTAGAGGCTGATCTTGATATCTTTGCCTGTCTGTAATTCACCATAGAGGATATCCTTATGAATTGCCTAATTTATTTTCATATCCAGTGATATCTCTAATGCCTTGTCCATTTTCATGCTAGTTGACCTATGCTTCTTTTTGCAGGAGCCATGACTTCCATTACTGTTCCTTCTAAACAACATTAGTATTTAATGTGGGAAAATATGTCTGCTGTATTTGAAACATGGGGCTGTTTATTTATTCAGTGGTTAGCTTTTGTAGAATGCCAGTAATTTTCTTTTTGATCCTTGATGTTCTAAAAAAAAAAAGCTAAAAGATTTCATTTTAAATCCTCAGTTTTTTTTTTTTTTAAATTGTAAAATGTCCATGGTTTGCATCTACATGTTGCCATAGAATTGATGCAGGTTCTGAAAATGTATTCTTCAGTTTGATGTAATTTGGCAAATATATGTTTAAAAATGTTTGTCTTTCAGAGGTGTACCATTAGGCCAGCAGTATTCAAACCTGCGTATTCTCATGGAAGAAAGAGCACAGTTAGAACTTTTGAAAGATTGTTTACTCAGAGTCAAATTTACACAGGTGAGTTAGAGATTGTTTGTCTTCATGGAGTTATTGATTTGGTTCAGATTGTTTACAAAATAAATAATTATTATAATTTAAAAAAAAATGTTGGAATGTAGGAGATAAACAGTTGGTAGAGAATCTCTGCTCTAAAGTTTCATAAATGAAAAATAGGAGATATACAGTTGGTAGAGAATCTCTGCTCTAAAGTTTGATAAATGAAAAATAGGAGATACACAGTTGATAAAGAATCCCTGCTCTAAATAGTGATAAAGGAGGATTTTAATATAAGTTGGTTTTACATTTTCAGATATAATATTTTACCACAGAACTTTTTATTCGTAAGAAGTTTAATTATTTTATCAGTCATAATTTCATTTTTCAGATATTTGTTGAAGAACTGGAGGGTCTGGTTCACATGGAATGTCGTACTGCTCACACCCTGAGACATGGAGGCTGTGCAGAGCCAGCAGTGACAAAGGTGTATTGCTTGAATGCTTTGTGTGAAGACTTGCGGCTTCATGTAGCCCATTGGAACAGCATTAAGCAAAGACTGAACACAAACCATTGGCTTCAGCAGAAGCTGGGACACTTGTGTCTGCAGCTTCAACACATCATGCAAGTTTTGACTTCTTCTATCCTGAAGGCAGTTCATAATCTGGATCAGCTAATTCATATTGGCTTTGAGGTGTTCGCTCATTGTAATATGGACACTGTGACTCCAGAAATGATGTGGAATATAACAAGAGGTCTGGAAGATTTCAATATCATTGTTAACGGGTTGAAATTAAACTACCAGGTGAATAAATCACAAATGTATGGGATGGATTACTTGCTAGCCGTAAGTGATAATCATTCATGTCTTGCAAATCTACCCATACAGAAACCTCTCAGAATTATTCCATTTACTAAAGTTCTCAGTATCCTTGCCAGCGAAAGATCCAAATATGCTGCCAAACTTACTCATAAATTTTTCACAAGCAACGAAGATTTTTTGCACATGGTCAACACAGGAAACTTGCCAGCTTTTGACTGGGGGGACTACTTACCTCATCAAAACCAGCCTCATTCGATGATGGTTCAGAGTGATACCTCAGACTATCACACTTTAACTGCCAGTAGTGCTAGCCTTACTGCTGCATATGTGCATGTGGGCTCCATCAGAGCCCCAGACATGTCAGGATTAGCTTCTCCTCTTATTCAGTTTTCTCAAAAGGAGCAGGAGTTTGCTGAGAGCTTCCTTCTTATTGTGTGCAATTCTACTTCTTTATTAAGAAAACACGATCCTCAGAAACCTCATCGTGTACACCACGGAAGCAAACAGGTGGATTCAAAGTCTACCATGAGTCCAGTTGTGGGCAGGCCCCCAAGGGTGCAATTTCAAGGAGATACGCCGGTCATGTCTCGCACAGACTCTCAACGAAAGACTGTTTCATGGGTAGATAATGCAGACAACTCCATAAGAACCGCTGTTGTTGCCCATTACATGGATTCGCTGTGGACCCAGTTTGGGCGCAATCTCGACCTCTATCTGGATGAACCAGCTTGGATTGGTCGGAATTGTTTGCTGCATTCAGAGATGGGTTCTCTTCTTCTTTTCAATGATGCAGTCATTGCAGTACTTAGAAACATGATTGATCATGTCTGTTGCAAAAGTAAGCTCCTGTTGTGTATTGTCTACCTTTTAAACCTCACCTATGTAAGCTTTGCTGCTGGTTTTTTTATTTTAAATCTTGTGAACCTCACCTAAGAAGTTTTCTGTTGTTTGTTTTTTAATCTCCTACCTTTTACTTTGTTTAATTCAGTTTTTTTCTTAAACCTTATGTAAAAAAGTTATAATGTGTGTTAACATTTTAAACCTAATGTAAGTACGCTTTTGCTGAGTTTTTTAGTCTTTTAAACCTTACCAAAATAAGCTGCTGGATGTTAGCCTTGCTTTAATTTCACTTAAGTAAGGTCCTTCTTTATTTTAATCTATTTAACCTTGTCAAAGTAAGCTCAGTTATACGTAATTGTAACTATGTAACCCTTCCTAAATAAGCTCCTGCTATATAAGGTGCGTAAATAAGTTTGCTTTATATTAATGTTTTAAATCTCACCTAAGTAATCTGCTTTTCTGTATCTTCTTTTTCTTTTTTTTCACTCCTGGAATGCCTCGCTGCAACATGGGAGAAAGAGATCTCTTGAACAGGCCCTTCTTTTCACTTCATTTATAGTACTTTTTAGTGTCTCTGATATTTCTATGGTTTATATTCTGCACGGTCGACCTCTAGGTCTGTTACCACTGTATCTGTATAACATTGCTCTCTGTGGTGCCCTGTATGCTGCCAGTCTTGTTAATGGCCAAACCATTTGATTTGTTGTCAACCTATAAACAACATTAGTATTTAATGTGGGAAAATCTGTCTGCCATATCTGAAACATGTGGCTATTTATTTATTCAGTGGTTAGCTTTTGTAGAATGCCAGTATTTTTCTGTTTGATCCCTTATGTTCAGTATTGGTTCTGTGCCGATTCTCCTCCTGATATCATCGTTCCTAAGTCAATCTTTTCTCGTTACACCTAGCATAGTATGTAAACATTTAATTTCTGTTGTGACTATTTTCCTTTTGTCTTCTGAAGACAGTGTCATGTTTGACATTGATTGCAGAGCGTTGGTAAAAATATTGTGTTAAACAGTGTTCTTTTAGTGTTCATATTCACATGCTTGCATTTCAAAATTGGTGCCATTTGGCCTAAAACTTGATTGTGCATCTTTGTTGGATTCATTTACTCATTCTTCAGTTTTCTGTATCATTATATCATTTCAAAATTCATCTCAGTAATCTCTTGTTTTATGTTATTTTTCTCTATCTCACTGTTTGTTTATAGAGCTACTTTAATTGTGAGGTAAATTATTTTAATTTATTTAATTGTATGTGATATTTTACAGTCCTAATTTTAAACAGGATTGCTTGTTGTTAATGTTGCTTATCCCAGTGTTGCAAAGTTGTCTGCTCTTGACAGCCTAGTACCATTCCTGAATGAAATTGTGGTGGGTGGGGGAGGGCACCAACAAAGTATATTTTAAAAGAGTCACCTGTTGAGCATGCAAGCCCATCTTATATTCATCCATTAGTGGAAAGTCAGCTTTACAAGAACACTGTCAGCGATGATGGAATAAATGTTGCTACTAGAAAGTTACGGTTAGCGGGGTAGGGGTATCCCCTATCAAAGGAGAAGTAAGACGCCTCCTTTCCTCCGCTAGTCTACGGGACACCCTTGGGCAAGGTGGAGTACCCGTTTAGCCCCCCAATCAGGGTTACGTGAAGCCATGGAAGCAGGTGGTGGATGGAGTGTAAGAGCAGCCGACAGGTATTGTTGGTTATGGTCTGCACTCTGCGGCGATAGGCAGATGATCTCATCAGTAGAGACAATGGCTACGGCCACCGACTAGTACAGTCACTGCTCAGGAGGAAAGCAACGGCAAACTACCTTCTGCAAATTTTGCCAAGAATCCATAACAATCATGAAAGAAAACATAACACAGAAGAGATCTGGTGGCGAGACCCCCAGGCCAGGCAGATCAGATAACACTGGGGAAGAGTGTGATACAGGGGTCAGTACTAGTAATCGTGATGACGGAGTTAATCCTGACTGTGTTACCAAGGAAATCCACTGTGTCAGACTAAGAAACAGAATGCGAATAGGAACGTGGAATGTGAGAAGTCTATATGAAGGAAAGCTTAAAGTAGTATGTGATGAGATTGAAAGATTAAATATTCAGATCTTAGGAATTTGTGAACATCGTTGGAGTGGCAAGGGACATTTTATCAATGAATATGGAAGCTTTTTCGTATATTCTGGTAGAGATGTAAGAGGCCAGAGCGAAGTGGCATTTTGTTTAGATAAAACAACAGCAAAAGCTATTATGGGATATAATCCAATTAGTGATAGAATCCTAACTATCAGACTTAAAGGCCGTCCAAAAAACATAACTTTCATGCAGGTATATGCACCAACTTCAACAGCAGAGGAGGGCAAAATTGAAGATTTTTATGCCATACTGCAAGACACATTAAATAAAATTAATCAGAATAATATAATAATAATAATGGGAGATTTTAATGCTAAAGTAGGTACAGGCAGAGCTGAAAATGAGAGACACGTTTTAGGAAAATTTGGATTGGGTAATAGAAATGAAACAGGAGAAAAATTGATTGAATTTTGCATAGAAAATGAATTAACAATAGCTAACACACTTTATAAACAACACCCTAGAAGGCTTTTCACATGGACATCCCCTGACGGTGTTACCAAAAATCAGATAGATTACATTTTAATACAAAGAAGATGGAGATCGAGCATAACATCTGCAAAAACCCTGCGAAGTGCAGATTGCGATACAGATCATCAGCTACTAGAAGCAGATCTGAAATTAAAACTCAAAAAGCTTACCCGAGGACCAAGGCCATTTCGATTTGATCACACAAAAATACCAGATGCATACAACGTAGAAGTGAAGAACCGTTTTGAGGTCTTGATGTCTGTACAAGAGGAAATGACACCTGATGAACTGGCGGTACGAGCTAGGGATATCTTGATAACAGCAGCTAAAGACTTAATACCCACCAGGACTAAGCAACATAAACCATGGATCACACCATACACGTTAGAACTAATAAAACAACGAAGGGAACTGAAAAAGAAAGGAGAAACCAATGACAGTAGGATGAAGTATAAATTTTTAACACGAGAAATAAGAAAGTACACAAGAAAGGATAAAAATCAGTATGTACAAGATTGCTGTATTAAAATAGAGCAGCATCATAAAAATGGAAGAGATTACGAAATGTTCAAGGAAATGAAGTTATTGACAAGAAATTTTCAACCTCAGTTAAATGTTATTTGTGACAGGTTGGGAAATACTTTAACAGAATCTAGACAAATTCTAGGAAGATGGCAGGAATACTGCAGCGGAATGTATGATATGAATGACAGTGAGGATATGAATGATATACATGAACCAGTAACAGTAGAGGCAGAACCTGAACCTTCATTAGATGAAATTTCATGGGCAGTAAGGAGCCTGAAAAATGGTAAATCACCTGGATGTGATGAGATACCAGCTGAATTGATTAAAGCGGGAGGAGAAGAAAGCATAAAAAATCTATCATGCATTATGTGAAAAGATATGGAAATATGGTATTTGGCCAAAAGACTGGAAGAGAACTATCTTCATTCCAATACCAAAAAAGGGTGACCTGAAATTATGTACAAACTATCGAACTATTGCCCTGATCAGTCATGCAAGTAAAATTCTACTAAAAATTATAATGAGAAGACTGCATAAGAAAATGGAAGAAGAAATTAATGTAGCTCAGGCTGGATTTAGACAGGGAAGAGGAACAAGAGATCATATATTCAACATGCGTTTAATAATAGAGAAGTGTAGAGAATTTAATGTAAATCTGTTCTTATGTTTTGTAGATTATTCAAAAACATTTGACAGTGTACAACATCAGAAGCTTTGGGAAATCATGAGGAATATGGGCTTTCCATCACATATAGTGCAGCTCATTAAAATGCTCTATCAAGACCAACAAGCAGCAGTCAGAATAGATGGAGAGACATCAGACTGGTTTGGCATCAAGCAAGGAGTCCGTCAAGGATGTGTGCTGTCACCGTATTTGTTCAACCTGTACGCCGAAAATATAATGAGAAATGTAAGAGATGATATAAACAAGGAACAATATGATGCCCTAAACATCGGTGGTCATGAAATACCAGAAATTCGTTATGCTGATGATACAGTATTACTATCAACATCACAAAATGGTTTAGAAAACTTATTAACCTCACTCCAAAGAAATAGTGAAAATCATAACTTATTTCTTAACATAGCAAAAACAAAGATAATGCATACAAACAAAACTGCCATGGAGAAGGAAATATATGTTAATGAGGAGAGATTGGAAGTGGTGGAAAATTTCGAATATCTTGGGTCACTGGTTACCAACAATGGTGACACAATGAAAGAAATTAAACGGCGACTATCAATTGCTCTTCAAATACTAAAACAACTGAATAAATTATGGAATTGTACAGATAGAATTACAATGGTCAGATTTTTAAGAGCATGCATCTTTCCCATTGCAACATACGCCTGTGAGACCTGGACACTTACTAAACAAGCGGAACAGCGCATAAATGCATTTGAATATAAATGTTACAGACAGGTTCTAAGAATATCTTGGGTAAAGAAAAGAACAAATGCATCCATACTTCAAGAGCTGAATATTGAAGAGGGTTGGCTAGTAAAGACAATAAAACAAAGAAAATTGAAATATTTTGGTCACTTGAAACGTCATGGAAGTCTAGAGAGAACAATAATGGAGGGGTATATGCCTGGGAAGAGAGGAAGAGGAAGGCCAAGGAGAAGATGGGTGCAGGATGTGGCAGATGATCTCCAGGTGGGTGTATCAGACGCAGGACATCTTGCTCAGGATAGGAAGGTTTTCCGGAGGGTTGTTATGGCAGCGAGGTTCCGCGAGGGACATGCTACTGAATGAATGAATGAACTAGAAAGTATATTTTAAGTCATCTGCTTGGGCATGCAGACTCCCCCACCTTACATTCACCCCTTACTGGATAGTCAGCTTTACATGAACACTGTCTGCATGGATGTAACAGATTTTGCTACTACGAAGCATATTTTAAGAGTCACATGTTTAAGGTATGCAGACCCACATCTTAGATTCACCTCTTACTTACTGGAAAGAAACTTTACAAGAACACAGTCAGCGATGATAGAATAGATGTTGCTGCTATAAAGTATATTTTAAAACTTTATTTCAAAAGTCACCTGCATGCAGACGCCCATCTTACATTCACCCCTCACTGGATAGTTAGCTTTACATGAACGCAATCAATGATGATTGAATAGATGTTGCTACTACAGAGTATTCACCACCAAACAAAAAGAGATACTGAAAAACAATTACTCATTACTACAACAACATTTAAAATAACTTGTCTGACATGTGTGTCTGACTCCAGAAATACTCTTGTACTAGTAGTGCAGGGAAAGAATACTGGAGAAACTGGAAGGACAGACATTTGCAGATATCCAGATGGATATAAAAGCACAGCGGAGCAGTTGAGGTACAGGTGCAGAGATTGATGCGGGTAGAAAAATGGGGGGAGGGGCATGCACAGACAGAAAGGTGAGATGACAGGTACAGAAGATGAAAAAGAAATCTGAGACGCATAGAAAGAGATTAATTTAAATTTAAACTCAGATTAAATTAATCAGAACAAGTTCAGCCAGAGTAACAGTGGTTCAATGGCTGTTGTGGGACTTGAGTTTTTCTATTTAAAGATAACTTCACAACCATAAGACTGTCACAGTGAAGAATAGACATGGTGATGCTTTACTAAAAAAAAAAATAATGACAATTTCAGTCAGTATCCCCAAAAGGGGGAGCTGTAAGTTATAATTGTGACTAGGTTATGTGCGTCATATAAAAAGGCCTAGCATTGCGCACTACCAAGAGCCCTGAAAATTACTCTTGCAGTGTTGATGTGATCAAAGGAGACATTTCCAAATACTGTCCCGACCCGTTGTCTACTGGTGAGTCAGTGGGCGACCCGGTCGCAATAAATAAAGGGAGGTAAAGAGAGAAGTCAGTTTTATAGTAAAGATGTGATGCTGGCTAAAAGAGGTGTAACTAATGACTGAGACATTATTGTGGTGGGATTGGTATCCTTAATATAGAAAAGGAGATTGTCAACCATAGGCTAAAATATACTGTACTCAACTCTGTCACAGGTAAATACATCTGACTGGGCTGTTCCGTTTGTGAATCTTAGCCAGCTAGTAGAAGGGCAGTTTTCATGACCAACTACAATTGGGTTTCAAATAAAAACTCTAAAAGTGTGATGGAAATTACAAAAACCATGCTAGTGTGTTTGTAACCAGTCAGAAATTATTGTTAAGGATGTCAAGAGTGTTAAGCACATATCCCACTTTTGGTATTCGCCAGAGAGCAAGTGTTCTGTTGTGGATTTTTGATCATTGAAGGGGTGAAACCTATATAAGTTTCATCAACGAAGGATTTATTATGGTGATGCTTGCCTGCCAGTCCAGCAAGCGGGTGAATAGATGTTTCAAAATGATGTGACTTCTTTGAAGACAGTTCATGCCCAAGTAAGGAAAACAGAGTAATGACCCCAGAATCAGTCAACCACAACTGTTGAAAACTTCATACAGGACAACTGCCAAATGAATGTGAGTGACATTGCCGTACAGCTTGATATCAGTCAAGGTCCATCACACCACATATCCATGATGTTTTTCAGTACCGCAAAGTATCTGCAGAGAGTCCATGACAGCTTACTTCAGAATTGAAACAACACATGGATGCTTGCCAAGGACATTTCCAGTGCTTTTGAAGCAGAAGGTGATGTTTCTCATCAAAAATTGTTACTGGAGATAAAACCTGGGTTCACTATTATGAGCTGAAAATAAAGCAAGTGATCAAGACATGGTGTTATCCTTCCATACTGATAGTAAAGAGGTTTCGCACACAGCCATCTGCAGGAAAGATTATGCTGACTCATTTGGGATGAATGAGGTGTTAAGGATGTTATTTTAAAGCACTGCATGCCAGGAAGAACTGTTACCATTGATACGTGTGCAGATTTTCTCAGAAATCATCTCCGACCCGTGGTAAAATCCAGACAACACTGACTTTTATGAAAAAAGTCAGTTTGCGGCATGACAGTGCTCAACCCTGTACTGCCCATGCTGCAGTTGAAACCATCAAAGATCTCCACTTTCAGTATATATCACATCCCTTATACCAACCGGACCTAGTCCCAAAATGATTTCCATCTGGTTGGAAAACTCAGTGAATTGTTTGTTTTGTTTTAGTATCCAGAAGCCATGAGTTGTTAACCCTTAGCCTCGATATTATGGATATCGCAACCCTTCGGCCTTGATTCCATTGTAAATACCGTAAATCTGGGAGAAGTGTGGCTTTTCTGCCTACCCCCGGAAGTAAACCTGGACCACAAGGAGTTCGTCACCCGCCGCACTCAGTGAATAGTTGGGAGGGAAATACTTTTTCGTCTGATGAATAGGTACAGCAGGTGGTGCATGAATCGATACACATGTGACCAAGATATTTTTGTTTACATAGGAACCCAGGCACTTTATTGGCTCTGAAAGACTTGTATTGAATGCATTGGTGATTACATCGAAAAATTATACATTTCTTGTTTACTTTCTCAGAATATATTCACCAGAAAAACATTTTGAGATTTTCTGTTGAAGTACCCCTTATGCAAGGTCCGACAATTAAGTATTGAGACTGATTTTATTATGGCCAAGACAAAAATGCCATCTTTGAAGCAAAGCATTGAATCTAAAGAGGCAACATTCATCTATGACCTGGCAACTTTTCATTGCCGCTCGATAAGCAGACAACAAACAAGCCGCTATTTTGTTGACCCAGTCAGCGGTACATTGTTATGTAATCAGCACGGAGCAAAAAGCTAACATTAAATGCTTTTTACAACTCAGAAAAAGCGCCATTGAAACAGTTGAATTGATGCAACAACTTCATGGGGATAATTTTTTATCTCGTGCAAAAATTTTCAGGTGGTATTCACGATTCAAAAGTGGTGTGGAAATGATTACTAATTCACCTAGACCTGGACGCCAAATTTCTGTTCGTAATGATGAACACCTTGCAAAATTCAGAGAACGGATACAACATCATTGTTTTACTGTGAGGATGATGGAAGATGAATCTGGTGTTAATAGAGAGAACATTCATAACATTTTAGTGCAAGATTTTGGCCCCAAAATAAGTTGCTTGCCGGTTTGTACCAAATTCGTTGTCTGATGACCAAAAACATCAGCGGGTTGAGTACCCAAGAGACATCAAAACAAGAATTTTTGGCCAAAAAAACAAGTGTGTGTTCTCAGCCTTCCACCCTATTCCCCAGATTTATGACCCTTTGATTATTTTCTAATCCTAAAATTAACGTTACGGATGAAAGGACATTTCTCTAATGATATTGATGACATCCAAAGGGCGATAACATCGACTTTAAGGGCCATAGCAACAAAATAATTACAGAGGTCATTCCAGTGTTTGTTAGATCGTGCCACTTGCTGTATCAATGCACAAGGGACTTACTTTGAATCAGATTCAGTTAATTATCTTCAACTGTTGATTATTTTAATTTTTATGGAATTAGTCTCATTACTTAATTGTCGGACCTTGTATATCCGTCTCCTCCTAAGTTGTGTCAGTGACTAACACTTTCATGTTTCATTTTTGCATATATTTTTGAGTCATAACTAAGGGTCTCCAGTTTTTTGTTTTTCTGCTGTTTCCCAGCTTCATATTTAGTGTGTTTTGTATATACAGATGTTTCATAATTTGCTCACTCTGTTAATTAACACTCAGATTTAAATAATGGAACATAAATTTTCAGATATATTTCCTGTTGCTTCTGTTCAACCCTTACTTGGAGTGATGTTCAGATTACATGCACTGTCGGCTTATGGAGCATGGGATGCACGTAAGTTGTTTCAGCATCATGTTCAATCACATATGTTTTTGTTTGTTAATGCTGCATCAGATTTATTTTCTGTATATTCCAGCACTTTAATTTGTCTGCATAGACCATTACAAGTCTTTTTTCATTTATCTTCATAAGAAATCAAAGTAAAAGTAGGGAGCTGCGTGGTCTTGAGGCATGGTGTCCGCCTCGAGTGCTACAGTTTTCGGATTCAATCCCCGATAAGGGCTGGGATGTTTTCACGTGCACTTGGACTTCTAGTAATTACCCCCCCCCCCCCTTTTTGTTTGGAAATCGAAAAGAGAAGCCTAGCGCCGCTGCCCTGGCAAAATGTGGAGTTAAAAATCGACCTAAAGTGTTTCAGGATCCTCACCGGTGCTACATAGCCTGTGCACTGTGCTGAGCTTCTTTGGACTCGGACTTGAGTTAGATGAAGAATGGAGCACTTATGGGTTACTACCCGTGTGCCATGATGTTGATCCGTTGTTCAAACCTCAAAGGAAAAGTCAAGTGATCAGCTTCATTGCACCAGGGTTTATCTAATATGACTCAGTCTCTCTCTGCTAGAGGCTCGTTGCCTGCTGAGAGCATCGCAAGATGTCTGCTCATCTGTTTCTATTTAGCATTTTATGTATTTCAATTTTTTTAATGAATTAAATTATCTCAGATTTTCAATCCATAGACTGAATCTTGAAACAAATCCCTCCTCCATTCTAGATGTGGTTCTCCTAGGGAAGATAATATGGTAGTTTCTCTTTAACTTCCACAGCTGCATAGATGGTTAATAACCTCTGTCATTAATAGCAGTTCTACGTATTGCAAGTGAATGAAACACTGACTATTGTCCACATATTCTGATGGATGTTGGGACCTCTATGCTTGCCACAGACTTTGTCTGTTGCCCATTTTCTACAGTTAGAAGGAGCAGTTGAGAAGTTGATAACATTTTACATTCTCTGTAGAACTTTAGAGATTTAGTTAGGTTTATTAAATGTATAATTTCTTAGCTCAGTTAATTGAGTTTGTCTTGGGTCTACATAATTGTTCTCCATATATTTTATTGCCAGTTGAGTGGTTCAAAGAAGCTTTGGTAGCACAGTTGACAACGTACAAGTAAAGTACCTATTACTATAGCCTTAGGTGTATTGGGTAAATAGTGCTAGACCAATCGGCACACACTGGGTGATGTAGCTAGCATCAGGCCAACTACCTTTACTCCGCAGGATACCTAGTACCATTTTTTAGACTGGGTTGACCCTCGGAGCCGAGATCTTAAAAAAAAAATCCAGCACAGTGTGGATTTGAAATCCTGACCTTTGGCCTGCAGGCGAGCATCTACACCCTGATGGCTTCCTCAGCTGACAGAAGTAAAGCTGGCTGATGGGACATTGAATACATCACTCATTTAGTGTCAGTTGGTCTATACAAATCTTCAGTTATCTGGTACAAGCAAAGTTGCAGATGAAAATCGTTTGGCTAAAGTCTTAATCAGTTGACAAAACAAGATTGAGAAACAAGGCTAGTAACATTTATTTGAACACTGAAAAGTTACAGCAGACCTGATAACACAACTTATCTGGTATGCAAGAATTCAGCAGATATAAGACAACTTATCCACGTATGCAAGAATGATGATAACGTCAAAATAATGGCGCCTTCTCTGAGTGGAGATTGACTGCAATGTATCCAATATTAATTATGGCAGTACTACATGTTGAGGTTTTAGTATCTTCCACAATGGGACTCTCGTTTATCTGTCTCAAAGTCTTTTTCTAAACTGTTGACTGTGGGAATCTTGACCCTGGTAAATGTTGAGGACTGCATTCTGAAATGAACTCTAATTTCACTAATTTCTAAGCCACACAAAACAAACACAAGAAAGATGTCTGAAGAAACAAAATGGAGGGTTGCAGTGTTCTTATAATGATTTGTAAAAATATTAGTATTCATTTTGAAAGTGTTGTTCCCTGATTGAGTCCCAAGGCACTATTTTGGGTAAATAGAATAGACCTAGTGACCCTCCCTTCCCAACAAGCATGTCATAAAAGCAACTAGTTAGGGTTTTTTCTTTTGAAGTTGGAGTGCATCTGCCTGAGAGGTAAGGAAACAAAAGTCTGCACACAGATAAGCCAGATTTTTAAAGAGCTTGAGTTTTGCGTGCACATCCGTTTTGCAAACCAAACTTATGTGTGTGCAGACTGTTGTTTCCATACCTCTCAGGCAGATGCACTCCAAATTTAAAGGGAACACCCCTATCATGTTTCAAAATGGAATGCAATTGTGGTGCGAGAGAGGATTTTTGTTGTTGTTGAAAGGACTGAGCGAACCTACATGCCCATCTTGTGATCCTTTTAACATACAGTTTGTTCATTCTTTCATTTGTTAGTTCATTTGTTTATTCTCTTCAGTGTCAATACATTATCCTGACCAGTTATGTAGCTGATGTGTTCACATTTTTCTGCAGTGTTGAGTGCATACCTGGCTTCTGAAACTACAGACAAGTGTCAGCCCTGTCTTCTGAATAGTGAGAGTTACAGCACATGTACAGGGAGAATTCTCAGAAATATGTACAGTCCACTGATGAGCATGCTTCAAGAGATAAACCGCTGCTTTCCACAGAATTTAGGTATCTTGAGTGTGTGTGTGTGTGGGTCTCTCTCTCTCTGTCTCTGTCTCTTGTCTCTCTCTCTCTCTCTGTCTCTCTCTCTCTCTCTGTCTCTGTTTCTTGTCTCTGTCTTTCTCTCTCTGTCTCTCTCTGTGTCTGTCTCTCTCTCTGTCTTTCTCTGTCTCTCTCTGTCTGTCTCTCTCTCTCTCTCTCTCTCTCTCTCTGTCTCTCTCTCTCTCTCTCTCTCTCAGCTTGCTATAGGTTTCAAGTAGTAGGCACCCTCTGTGTCTGGGAGCTGCTGTGGCGTAGAGAGGCTAGAAACTCACTTTCGGTTCTAAGGATCATGGGTTCAAATTTGAACAGTTTGACATTTTAAAAAACCCACCCCAACCTTAAATGGTTACCGGATACAGCCGTGGGAAGTAAAGATGGCCAGTATGATGTTGACCACATCATCCACTGAGTGCTGGTTAGTCTGAAAATATAGGTCTAGTACAGTATACCCAATTTGGCTCCACTACGCTAACTAGCTTATTCATAATTGAATTAATTCTTTTTAAAATGAGATGTGGTTGCCGATATAATACAAAATCTCTTTAATGGAAGCTGATGTACATGCATGGCAGGTTACAGTATTGGGGGTCTTTGTGGTGAAGTGCTCAAGCTATCTGCCTTGTTCTCTGAGCGTCATGGGTTCATTTCACAGCTGCATCCTGCAGTTTTTAATCATCGTTGGGGCTATAGGGTTAATGCTTTGTGAGGCTCTCTAAGAAACAAATAGCTGTTATGTGAAGAGGTTTCAAATCATATAGGACACTGGCTTTAAAAAAAAGGGTAGGTGTGTCTAATGGGTTTTATCATGAAAGCACATATTTGTTGCTTTTTATATATTTTAATTCACCTTGTTTAAGTTGTTTTTTTTACTCCACAAAAATTATTTTCCATGGAAATAAATGAATGTATACACACATATACACATACTGTATTCATTCCTCACCTTTTTGCCCCTAGAACACTTTTAAAATTTAAGGTTTTGAACCCATAAGAAGTCTACAGAAAATCTGTAAAAACAATAATTTTTACAAAGGTCACTAATAAATTTCTTTAAAGTGCATTTATATACCCTTTTAAATTACTTTTCCAAATGTTGAAAGATGTATGGAAGGAGTAATCAATAAACATGAACAGGGTTAAGCTTTAAATGGAATACTTCCTCCAGGGCATAAAATAGACAAATGTATGGGATGACTTATACCTTGAACTTAATCACTGAGGCTTACAAGAAAATCTGACATCCATTTGTCTCTGAAAAAAGCAATTTAGTTTAAAGGAAAACCCCCTGAATGCTATTGTTAAATAATATATTCATATACTGACCTCCTAAATGTTTGTGCAGGCACAAACTCAGCTAGTAGTATTAACTATGAGTCTTATAAATTGGTCACTAATAGACAAGTCGGAAATGTGACATTTGGACTTGACCAGAAGTGTTGTTTTTTCGAATTCTGGGGACAAAAGAGTTAGTTAATGATCTGTGACTATCAGTTTTTCTGTTTAATTTTTGGATAGATGGGATGGGATCTGCACCATGGGGAAGATTGAGGCTTCCGTACTTAAAATTCCCAAAGAAAGCAGTGGATGCATCTGTCAACTGCAGCCAACCTTCATTGTGGAATCACACCACTATTCTTTAACCGTTACCTCATCAGTAGGTTTTTGATGAAACTCAACTTGAGTGCTTTTTCTCCTTGCAGACGATACAGCACAGCGTCCCAGCGTGGATCTGGGTGTCTGTGTGGGCGTAACATTACGTGTTCTCATGACGTGCAGACTTGCATTGTCCTGGTGCACCATGAAAATACAGCATCTCTTGTCATCCTGGAGTGTCCATCAGTATCTCTTTCTGACACACAGTGATCTCAAGGTATTGCTTCATGTCATCTGTATTATTGTGAAATTGTAGTTTGTTCTAAGGTTTAACAAATGCAGTCACAAACAATACATTGCATAGTTAAGTGCGGGGTATATTTCGCTGTATCTCGTCAGGTGCATTACTAGTTTCATCAACATAAATAGAAGAGCAAAATACAGAATAAATCCAACTGAAATGTGAATGGTTTCTTTAGTCTGTTCTAAATTTTAAAGAAAAAAGAAAGACATTCTCAGAAAATTTGTCCCAAGGCAAATGCATTTTGGGAGTCGCCGTGGTGTAGTGGCTAGACCCTCTCGCGAAGATCAGAAGGTTGTGGGTTCGTGCCCTGGCAGAGCCGGACTTTTTAAAAAATGACCTTGACTCCCAGGTTGACCAAGCCTTGAGTGGGTACCGGGTGCAGTCCCGGGAAGTAAAGGCAACCGACGTGATGTTGAGCACATCACCCATATTGTACCAATTAGTCTATAAAAATATAGGTCTAGCCCTATATGCCCTATAAGCCCAAAGGCGGTAAAAAGAGACCTTTTCCCTTTTTTTTCAATTTTTTTTTAATGCTTGTAACTTTAATATTTTTTTTTAGTCTCAGATTGACTTGCTGGGGTTTATTTGTCACACAGCTCACCTACTTGTAAAATGTGGAATAAGTGATGTGTGTAAGGTCACTGTATACATAACATGAGAATTGAAGCAAAGACAGAGACATCAAAAGATTACATGCAAAATAGCAACAGTGAATTTGAAGATCACTGAGCTGATAGGGCATAATCATCTATTATAGAGCAGTTAAAAGCACTATGTGTATATTTCTGTACACTAAATACATGCATGTGTGCGCTCACACACTTCCTCATGTGCGCGCTGACACACACACACTTTTCATGTTGTCCATTGAATAAAGCTGTGGGTTTTAAATGAGTTGTGTCTCTTTTTATTGAAGCTGCTGGTGGATTGCACAAAAAGTATGTCATCTCTGCTTCAGAGCTTGAACTTCAGTGAAGAGCATTTTGTGATAAAGGTTGCTGATAGTTTGTGTGTGTGTCAGATAGCACTGCTTCAGGAGCAGATTGGCCAGGTTAATGCTCAGATGCAAGTAAGTGCTACTTCTGTTAGTTCTGTATATTATGGGTAACAGCTTAAGAGCCACATTAACTGTTAAATCCAGGAAAAGTGCGAAGATTTGTTTCTTGTGTGTGTGACCAGGATTGTGTTGACCTTGTTTTTGTGTAGTGTACTCTTGGTTGTGACGTAATGTTGACCACATTACCCACCTAGTGCTGATTGGTCTGTAAAAAATATGGGTGCTCTTCCCATATGCCCTATGCGCCTAAGTCTTGAAACAGGATTTTTACTTTATTCACTCTATACACTTGGTTGAATCTGCAAGGGAGGTTTGAAAGGTAATGCCTCCAAAGGTGTAACTTTATTAATATATACACAATGCTTACGAAATACCCATTTTCTGAAAACTTGGGATTTCCTTTTAAGTATGATGCCTTGCTACATTACACACGCAGTTCTTCAGCATGTCAGTGCTTGCCCACACACAAGTAGACCAACAGTGGCAGCATTAGAGCATCTTCACTTTGACGACAACATGGCGCATCCAGCCATAATCCCGATTTAGCACCTTGTGACATTTTCCTATTCCCAAAGCTCAAGGAACACCACACGAGGAACAGGTATGCTTCTTACGAGGAAGTAGCAGCTGATATGCGTTCCTGGTTTTATGAGACATCATGTTTTTTGTTTGTTTGTCTGTGGGTTTTGAAAACATGTTCTACGCTGGTGTGTGTGTGTGTGTGTGGAACATAGTGGTGTCTACGTTGACAAATAATGGTACCTTATTTAAAGAACATCCCAAGTTGTCTGGAAATGTAAATGTTTTAAAGATATTACTTTTCTTTAAATAATCTCTTTTTTGCAGAACCCTCCTGTCATCACTGCTTGCTTCTATTATGGGTCCCTGGCCCAAGTTTGGGTGAAAGAAGAGTACACCCAGTGTCTCTCCAAAAAGCATGTGCTAAAAGTCGACTAATTGGGGCGTTTCCTTTAAAATTGGTGTGCATCTGCCCGACAGGCAAGGTACCAATAATCTGCATGAAGATAAGCCAGATCTGTTTCCTATATGGTTCTGTGGGCCCCACTGAGAGGAACAGAGCTAGTGCCTCCCCAACAAGCATGTCATAAAAGTCAATTTATTAGGGCTTCCTTCGAAGTTGGAGTGCATCTGCCTGAGAAACAAGGAATCAACATATAAGTCAGATCTGTATTACAGATGTGCATGTAACACTCAGGTTCTGATAAAAGTTGATGAACGACCAAAACTTTCTGCCAGAGTTTACAGCCGGTGAGGGCGAAAAAAGAAGAAGAAGAAGCTGGATCTGTAAAACTGATGTGCATGCAAAACACAAGTTCTTGATCAAGACCAAAGCTCAGAAGATCATGAACACCCAGATCTTTCCACTGGAGTTTGTCGCCTGTGAACAAGAAGAAGAAGAATGGATATAGCACCCCATTTTAATTTCAGATTTCTTGCCTATGTAAAGCTGATAGATGCAGAAATTATTTTTTAAATTGATCCTCTAACAATGATATATTGTTCCATGTGTAACTTGTTTTTTTTTTTAAATTAATCTTCTAACAATAATATATTGTTCCGTGTGTAACTTTTTTTTAAAATTGATCTTCTAACAATAATATATTGTTCCATGTGTAACTTGTGTTTTTTTTTTTTAAATTGATCTTCTAACAATAATATATTGTTCCATTGAAACTTATTATCTCAGAGCTTGAGTGGAAGCACTATGAAGAGCTTCATTGAAAAATACAGTGAACACGCTCTCAATTTCTTTCAAGAAAGCCTGCTCCCTGCCAGGGCCTGGAAAAAGAAACTTCTTCCAGGTAAGTTGTTGACTCCGACAATATGTCATCTTGCTTGAAGAATGGCCAGTAGTATCTTGTTTATTCTTGGAAGGTTATTTTGTGCGAAATGAAGAAATTACCAGAACTATTTAAACAAAATCTATAAAAATAAAATAAAAAAAAAAAAACAGGACTGAAATGGTTTGGCTGTTTAATAAGAATGAATCCAGTATTGCCAGTAGTTAGAGCCTACAACATGAAAGTAGAAACACTAAGAGGTAGGGGATGACCAAGAAGAATGTTGATTGAAGGAGTCACTGATACCTTCAGAATTCACATCATCACAACAGTAGGAAACTCAAACTGCTCTAGCTCAGAGACCGATTATCTGTTAACCTGTGATGCCTAGTAGCACAAAACAGAATATAGATCAAAGGAAAAAAGAGAAATAGAGAGAGAGAAAGAGAGAGATTATTTTTACTGAGTAGAGATTAAGAGCAATGGGCCAAGCATAAGCTGCATTTAACTCTTTGAGTCCCAGGGGATTTTGCATCAGAGGCCCAAGGGGGGTAATATGATTTTGACTTTTAACAAATGCAACACTTTAAAACAAACCACACAACTGCAGCTGATGTACGACATACACATATCATACATGAAAATAAACATAAATGGATAAGGATTAATATTAGCATACTGCTACAACAAACAATTATACCGTTAGTTAGTATTTAGTAGAGAAAACAGTGACTTAGTTTGAGAGGTGAGTAAATTATGAACAAGTTTTTCTCACTTACCCAGAAGCTGATCCCAAAATTCTTGATATAATATATCCAAAATGCATCACAAAGGAAGGTACACCACTTATAAGTATGCACAGCCAATATTAAAGCAAAATGTGGAATAGTTGCTGTTCCATAGCAATTTTAATAACACTACCATAACACGTCAAAAAATATTCTCCAGTGGCACAAACAATGACTTTTCTAAAAACAATTGAATTCCTCACATAGAAAAAAACTGTAAAGGCACTGTAAACATGTCAATCTGTTCATAGATATATATCTATGGTTTTAGATTATATGGATAGTAGTACTAGAAGCGCTGACATTTGGATTAGCTGGTGTCGCGTTACGAGGTGCTTCTCTTGTGTTGCCATGGCAGAATTAGTCAGTTTTGTCCTCTTAGCAGGAGGTAAATTACGCACACATTCTTCATCAAAACTTGACCCTTCAAATGTTTGGGGAAATTCCACGTCGCTACTATCATTATCCAACTCCACATTACTTTGATCGATCCACTGTTTATCAAATTTGATGCTTCTAAAGCAGTAAATCGCTTTGCTGGGCGTGAAGACGAATGCACTCCACGTGTGTTCACTACACACTTGAGAACCGGAAAGGAAGTTTAAATTGAGCGGTTCATGTGTAATTACAGATAAGTGGTAAATTAAAAACCGTCACACGTCAAGCGCTGGTTGGGCCGCCAGGTAGTAACTAATTAGCATGTGATGTGTTCCCTGGGACTCAAAGAGTTAAGAAGATCAAATGTGTTGCATGTACAAGTCCCTTCCACTGGCTATCAGAAACAGGTAACGGAAATGTTGTATTGAACCTATCTGCTGTGTGATTATAAATCTTAGAATGAACACATTGAGAAGAGCCTGAAGGCTGTGTAGAGGTGTTGTCTGTGAGCACTGTTGTAAATACATTAGACAGTAGAATAACTGACAGTGATTGTCTGGGAAAAGGCAAATGAAAGTAGAACATCATTTCCAACCATCAGCAAGTTGACCTAAAGGAGGCAAATTCCAAAATGGAATACAGTGTTAGGCTTAGACTTGTTCTGTAACATTCACTTTTTGGCTCTCTTCCGAATAACGGACCCATATTATCGAGGCAGAAAATATACCCTTACTGGGCCTCAGTCACGTGTCAATTTCACACTTCCGGGGGACTATACCGCCACCGCCAAGAGTATCCCCCATGCCGCTCATGAGGCGTGGATTGGGGCTAAACTAGATGGCTATGACTCACGGGCAAATAAAATAAAGGCAGCTGCAGGAGATGCGGTAGCTGCTGCTCGTGAGTCCCAGCCATCTAGTTTAGCCCCAATTCACGCCGCCTGAGCAGCGTGGGGGACACTCTCGGCAGTGGCGGAAGTCACAGGAAGTGTGCAGTTGACACATGACTGAGGCCCTGTTAGGGTATATTTTCTGCCTCGATAATTTGGGGCCGTTGTTCGGAAGTTAGCCCACTTTTTTTTTTTTTTTGGTAGATCAAATTTGTCTCTGCCCCCATCAATGTGTTGTTTTTGGTAAATGTGTCCAGCTCCAGTGTTGTTGAGAGTAATCTAACCTTATCAAGCCTTTGTAGTTCCCTGTGCTACTTTTTAACAACAAGCCTGGTGCAAAATAGTTTTATATAAACAAGGTTTAGTTTTTAAAATAAATAGGGAGTGGATATAGAGGAACAACTAAATAAAGTGGGAATTCTTATTTTCTTGATGCTATGATGACATCACTGCTTTCCATGATGTTGTAATGGTGGGGAAAAAAAAACAGCTGGCAACTTCACGCTAGGTAGTGTATGGACTCTAGCACACTGCTCAATATGTATGGGGATCTGGTGACAGAGAAAACAGAATTGTCTGTAGCAGGGAGCATTTGGTTTAGCACCATGTATTTTACTACCTTTTATAAACCTAACCTTCAAGTGTCTCACTACCTTTTATAAACCTAACCTTCAAGTGTCTCACTACCTTTTATAAACCTAACCTTCAAGTGTCTCACTACCTTTTATAAACCTAACTATCAAGTGTCTCACTACCTTTTATAAACCTAACCTTCAAGTGTCTCACTACCTTTTATAAACCTAACCTTCAAGTGTCTCACTACCTTTTATAAACCTAATCTTCAAGTGTCTGTTAGTCTGTACCTAGTGTTTTTACATCACCTCTGCTTAAGAAAGAAAATCCATGCTGGGTTCATAAAATAAGAATGGATTGTAACATTAAGTACTTGATGAATGGCTGGCCTAACCCTCATCTTTGTGCCAAATATGAGGGTGTTTGGGGAAAAGGAATGTGCAGACGATTGGCTGGCCTAACCCTCATCTTTGTGCCAGGCATGAGGGTGTTTGGGGAAACAAATGTGCAGATTATCTTGCTATCTTGCAGACACTACAGTTTCTAGATGGTCTGGACAGAAGTGATGTTATCAGGGCCATTCACAGCACTTACCACAAAGACGAATACGGAAAAGGGTGTGACTCCTTATGTCTGTCTTGGCTGATGTAAAAAAGTTGAGGGGATTGACTTTTTTGCACCAGGTTGTAACCTATATAGCTCCGTCTCTCTGTTGCCTGCCGAGAGCATTGCACAGAGCACGAACTCTGTAGCTCCGGCGACGATCCCAAGGGATATCCATAAAAATTGCACTTGTAAACTGAACGGTGCAGCCGTGAAATGAACCCACGACCTTCAGAGCACGAAGCAAAAACCTTGACCACTTCACCACAGAGACTCCCACCGCCTAGGCTGATGGACATGGGGTGCAAGCTGAAGCTGGAAGAAATGGGCATATTACCAAGGGGATGAGATGTTTGATTAATCCTCATAGAACAGGGTCATCGTGGTTTTACACCTGCGGAGCTTTTGAGGACGAGATAAGAGCCCTTTTATAGTGATGTGATGATAATCGTCACTAATCACTAATCTTCCTTAGATTAATATGAAAGGGTTATTTTCGTAATGGTTAAAAATTAGTTGCATATCCTTTACAGGACATTGCAGAATCAACTCCAGCACTTTTTAGCTGTTGTGGTTTTTCTAGGCAACTTTACCTCTAGTAGTTTGCCATTGCTTTCTGGGCGGTCGGCTGTTGGTACCACTGTCAAAACGAGCTCAAGACAAACCGTCCGCAGCTGGGTTTGAACCCAGTACTCTGGCATTACAAAGCGCGTTTGTGGTGCCTAAGCCACCGACGCCGACACATAATGGTTACAGGTTCTATATATGACATGTTTGAAATCTATTTTGGTTTTCTTTCTAGAGGAGAGTGCTGAACCAAGCAGCTATACTGTGAATGCAGTAGAAAGCCTACTGGTGCCGATAGTGCAAGGCATTTCCAAACTGTCTACGGCAACCCAGATTGGAGTCATCTCATTGGTGACCATGTCTTTTTGTAATACTTGGCTGGGAATCATTTTGAAGGAGAAGATTCGTTTCAGGTATGTAGTGGATATTTGATCATCTCTGTCTGTGTGTATGAAAGTGAGGTCAGCCTATTTACACATCCTTACCCACACAGTGCCCTAATTATAACCTTTTGGGAGGTTCAAAAGGGTATCCGGGATCTGCCCTGTTGCCTTCCTTCTCGATTTGGATAGTTTTATTATGCAGCAGCCACAAGAGGATCTCCTAGCCATCAGTCTACATAGCTGTAAGGTATATCTGAGATAATCTGTTGGTACTACGTCAGAGAATCCTCAGTAATAAATCCTGGTTTCGAGAAAATTGCATTTGAACATTGAGATCCCTGTAAAAATTGCGTAGTTGCCAGAAAACTAATTATTCATTAAGACTTATTTATAGTAGGAGTTCACATGTGTTCCTTTGATGTATTGTAAGTTGATACTTCAGAAAATGGGCTTACATCAGAATCATACTCAGGTGACTTTGACCTAGTGTCAAAGATGTGGCACTAGATCCACCTACTTTGTAGCCAGCTGGCACACAGAAGTTGATGTTGTCAGTCATGCCAGTTTACTATTAGTTTTCCAGATGTCTGATGTCTGTGGTATCTGTTGTACCTGGTTGAATCAGTTTACTTTATTTGGATGGCAGTGTGAATTTATTTTACATAATATGAAAGAAAACTGTTGAGACAGTTTCTTCAGTTTTCACATGATTGCCAACCAATCTCTTTATCACTAAAAACTCTGTCAGTACTCAGACAACACTAAGCTGCTGATCTGCAAATTGAATAGCCAATACAATTGTTGCAAAAGGCAGCCATCAGATGTGTCAATACTGTCTTCCACCAAAATTGCTTCAGCCATCAGATGTGTCAATACTGTCTTCGACCAAAATTGTTGCAAAAGGCAGCCATCAGATGTGTCAGTACTGTCTTTTACCAAAATTGCTTCAGCCATCAGATGTGTCAATACTGTTTTCCACCAAAATTGTTGCAAAAGGCAGCCATAGATATGTCAGTACTGTCTTCCACCAAAACTGTTGCAAAAGGCAGCCATAGATGTGTCAATACTGTCTTCCACCAAAACTGTTGCAGAAGGCAGCCATAGATGTGTCAATACTGTCTTCCACCAAAACTTTTGCAAAAGGCAGCCATAGATGTGTCAGTACTGTCTTCCACTAAAACTGTTGCAAAAGGCAGCCATAGGTGTGTCAATACTGTCTTCCACCAAAACTGTTGCAAAAGGCAGCCATAGATGTGTCAATACTGTCTTCCACCAAAACTTTTGCAAAAGGCAGCCATAGATGTGTCAATACTGTCTTCCACCAAAACTTTTGCAGAAGGCAGCCATAGATGTGTCAATACTGTCTTCCATTTAAATGGTTGCAAAAAGCAGCCATCAGATTGTCAATACTGTCTTCCACAAGAGTTGCAGCCAGCTGTTGATGCAAGCAGTCAGTCACAAAAGCTGACATTTGCACAAATGACACAAAATATAAATCTTGACAGTAGAGAAGAAAAATAATTTTAAATCTTGTCTTTTTAATTGATGCAGTTGGATACTTTTACGATTGTTTCTTCAGTTTGTGGGGAGCTGTCCAGCTTGGCATAGACTTTGAGTACGTCAGGACACAGATTGGCCAGATGGTTGCAAATGAAGAAGTGAGGCAGAGTGTGACAGACCTTCCCATCTTCCAGCAGATGAGGGGTATTGTTTTCTTATTAAAACGACAACCTAGTCAGAAGCAATCCAGCAGCAGATTAATGGACAATATTAGTAAGTTCCTGTTCAAGATTTTATTGTTGTATATTCATGGAAAATATGTGTATATTTGTCTAACGATTCATATCTGCATTATTTTGAGCATTATATTTGCTTGTCACTGAAAGGTTTATGATAGAAGCAGCAGACTGGGGTAAACAGGCTTGTCATCATCATGTGCCCTGCCAACTGGCCTAGGCGCTCATGCGTCTTCACAGATAATGATCCCTGGTTGCCTGGAACAGCTGTCTTGATGAAATCCATCATTGCCATTGTTTCAGCCCATCCAGCATCATCTCTCTTGGTCTGCCTTTACCCCCTTTTCCACTGATCTTTCCATTTGTCACGATGTTCTCCAGTGTCTCTCTCTTCTTATTACGTGGCCAAAGATCAGTGTTTATCTCTTTTTTATTGTTGTATATAGAGATCTACTTTCATTAGCTTTTTCAAGCAATCGTTGTTAGTTACTCTGGCTATCCAAGGTATTTGTAACATTCGTCTCAGAAACCACATCTCTGTTGCTTCCAAATTCTTCCTTATTTGTTCACTGACATTCCAAGATTCATTGCCAGATAACAGAACATGTTCTATGTAACATTTTAGCACCCTCTTTCTGACATTAAATGAGAGCAATTTATTGCATAAGATATTTTTTCATTTTCTGAAATGCAGGCTAAATGGTCATAAATGGTGATATGGGAGAACCAAATTGATATCAGATAATGGCAGTTCCAGCTTTATAGAGGACCAGTCACCCCATAGCTGCTCCGTTCCTGTGCCAGCCAACATCATACAAAATATCCCTTGGTGAAAAACTGGCACAGACTGCAGTCTTGGAAAATCCAACAGCATGCATGTGATTTAAATGCATAAGGCAGCCATCAGAAGTGCCAGCACAAACAGTCTGACACTAGAAATGCAGTTCGTCATCGGTGGACACAGATGTTCAACAGATATGTAGTTGCACATGCAATTAATCGCATAAAGCCCACTTGCTATTTTCTGAATCTGCTCTTCACAACACAAGCCACGTTGGGCACAGCAAAAAGTTATTTCAAATGTAATGCACAGCTCACATTACCACGTAACACACTCGACTCAGTAGAAGGGCGACGATATATATATATATATATCATATATTGAATGTCCTTGCTATTTGGTGCATCACATGATGATGAATCCATGGTGTTGAAAAATTTTTAATTAACATTCACATTTGAAAGATGCATATTAAAAATGTGTGTTTGCTTGTGATTATTTACTGGAGTAGTACCATGGGCTCTTAATGCTGGTTAAGCTTTGTATTGTTTTATCCAGACTCCTGATTTCATTTTAAATGGACATGATCACATTTTCAGGATTCTTTGTCTTCTTAGCATTAATAGTCTGCAAACTCTGGCAGAAAGTTCTAGTTGGTCATCCACTTCTGGACTTTAATTTGCATTCATATCTTTTTTTACGGATCTGACTTCTTTGTTTACAGACTGTTGGTTCCTCGTCTTTCAGGTAGATACACTTTGACTTTTAAAGAAACAGCCCTAGTTAGTTGCCTTGTATGACATACTTTTTAGGGGCTTAGGGGCAGTTTGAGTTGTTCTTTTCCCCTGCAAAATGGGCCTCTGGAACTCACACAGGGAATTTTCAGGATTCATATTGTGTGTTTCAAGTAATGTCGATGTAACCTTTTAATATTGCACCTGACATGATACAGCAGAATATCATCATTATCATCCTGTTCTGCTGTTTTACTTCACATAGGGCTTGCATTGTATTCTTCCATTTTATTCTGACCTGTGCACTTGTGATACAAGTTTCTGTAGCACATTGTTTTTTAACAGAGTGAGGGAGCCGGCCTCTCACCCAGTCCTCCTCCTTTCTCATTCAGGCTTTGGGCCGGCAGTGGCAGAAATACACACCACATTATAAATTATGCAGTATATTGTTTGTGTCCTAAGTGAAACAATATAATTTAAATACAGAAGTTTGTTTGTGTCCTAAGTCTAAACAAGAAAGCATTGTTTTGAATGATCAAGCTGATAGGTTTGTAGTTAAAGCAGGGGGCGGACAGCCGTGGACCAGGCTGATGTACTGAATACTCTGTGAGAAGTAAGATTTTTGCAAGAAGCAAGTGATGACTGAATCTACAATGATGACCAGACTGAAGGTGCAGCATGTTAAAATAGGGGAGGCCAGACAGTGGCAGTAAGCAGGAAGCCAAAGAATAATGAGAAACCAACACAGAACTGGTTTTATCAGCTACAATGCACTGTGGGATTTACTTAAAAGGGGATCCAAGCAATTATGAACTGAATGATGTGCCGTGAGGATAATCTGTTAACACTAACTATTGTTTTGAAGGTTTCATTGTTAAGATGATTCCAGTTTGCAAAATGTTCACAATTTGTTGCTTTTTTCTCTTGCTCTAAATTTGTGTTGCATACACTTCTCAATGTCTCCAGCTGTCCAGGTTTTTACAAATAATTGACCACTCTGTCCGCAGTGTGTGATTCAGCCTCAGCAGTCCCATCTCCTGATGTACCCTCAGCTGATGCCAGGACAATCACACCAGTGTCGACAGGCTCCACCACCCTTGGTAATGGAATGCATAAATCAAACACCGGAGCACAGCTTTCCCAAGAGGAGGAGGATATAAACACAGTTCCCAATGTACAGGAGTGGTTAGCTCTCAGAACTATTGGTGGCTCCAAACCGTGGAAGTTTCCAGCTTGTTTTGCCAGAAGTTCCAGTGATGACTAGGAGAGGATTCATCATTTACCAAGCAGACAATTAGAGCAGATTGTCTATAACATTTGGCAGTGTAGCGGTTATTATTGGCAGATTAAAGCATAGCGTTTTATGTGTATTAATTTAATGCTTTCATTATTAGAATCATTTTTTTCTTTACAGAATGGGTACAATTTGATCTTTATTAGTCTATGTTAGAATTACTGTAAACTTACATTAATAGGGCAGCCAAGGGTATTTAGTGGCTAGATGTTTGCTTGCTGGAAGGCAGCTCTAGGGTTCAGTTCTGTACTGAGGCCGATTGTGTTTAAAATATACTGTGTCTATCAGGTCAACCCAGCCTAAAAGAGGTACCAGGTAATGTCCTGTGAAAAAAAAAAAGCATTTGGTTATGTCCAACACATCAGCCATTTAGGGCCTGTTTGTCTAAAGAAATCTTAGGCTTTTTTTCATTTGTTTGATGTGCCACTGGTGTAAAAAAAAAAGGTCCTTTACTTACTAACTTAAATGTTAGTAGTCTGTTTATAGTATTACACCACTGATAATAGGATTTACAATTGTTAGTATAATTTTTAGAATGCATGTGTTTAGACATATCTTCTTATGTGCAGGTTCACGGACACAAAAATAAGCTGTTGTATATCTGTAAATATATGAGATTCACTGCTAGATGTAGACTGTAAATTACTACATACATTTGATGAAGTACATTTTTTAAAAAATGTACAATATAAACATTTTGCCTCTGATTTGTATATCTTGTGCATAAAAATAAAATTTAAAAACGTGTGTGTGTAAGGTTTTTAAGTTGAGATTTCTCAGATAAATAGGACTTCTTCACTTCCTATTTTACTGCTTCAGGGGTCAAAAAGACTTCTTGCTCTTTTGGCTATCTGGACCATAGACACTTCATCCTGTTGTAGAATTTCACTTATCTTATCTTTCCATCTTGTTCTTGGTCTGCCTTGCGCTCTGCATCCTTCTTCTCTTTTGGTTTATGCCTTGTATGGTATGGCATCACTGGGCATTTTATATAAGTGGGTAAACCATTTGATCTGCTGTCTTTGTATATAATTTAAATTTGTTTGTGTGCCAAATTTTTATTTGTGTTACCTTATTCTTCATTTTATCTCCTTTGATCACTCCTGGAGCCCTTCTCAGACATCTCATTTCCATTTTTTTTCCTTTTTTTTTTCTGATTTGTTGTTGGAGACCATAAGGCGGGAATGAATCTGCTTTGTATAAGATGTTTCTTTGTGCTGATTAGGATTGTCTTATACTGGAAGACATTGTAACTGCTACTTGCAAAATTATCTGATAGGTTTATTTTGTCAGAATTTTAGCATGGGAAAAACAAAGCAACTGGTTTCAACAAAAAATTTTAAATGTACATAAATAAATTAGGTAACAATTTTTAAGTGACCTGAGTAAAATACATATTTTTTTAAAACCAATTTTTGGAGGAATTGAGATGAAATTGTGACCCCTTTTTTTTAAATATTTATGAAGCAAAAGAGTTAAAGTAATAAAATTTTTAATGTTGCAGCAGTTATTACTTTTGTTTTAAAACGGATGTTATGTCTCAGCTGTTTTTTTTTCTTTTAAAGATAAAATCACTCAATAGGTAACTTTAGACTGCATGTTAAATAATTAAGAAGTGCATGGTTATCAATATATCAAAACCCAGAAACTAAAAGACATTTTTTCTGTGCCATAGTTAATCTGTAATTTAATACAAAAGTAAGATGTCTGTCAACCAAGAAAGCACATCTTTCAGATGATTGTTAACTGGTGCTAAATGGCTGTGAGCTGTTATTATTCCCTGTTTGTTCAGATATTAAGAGTATACAGTTTATAAAAATAATCAGTAGTTAATTTTCATTTTGTATACTGCTGAGTAACAGATAGTTTATATTGAATTAGCATTTACATATGTATATATAATACATACATTGTTGACTGGAGCAACATTGTCAGGTATGAGAAGAGATAGAAACAGAGTGTGCTTGCAGTTTGGACAGATAACAATAGATATAACATTCTTTTGATGGAAGAAACAATTGAAACATATTGTATACTAAATAGTAGGATTTTATATTACAGACTCTCAGATCTCTAACCCAAGTTAACTTTTTGAATTGTGCTCCCCTTTGATTTTCAGGTACCTAACAGCTCCTGAAGGCAAGAGCTCATATTTCTATGTTTTATTTTAGGACCCACATTTATTTTGTCAGTCCTCTTTTGATGAATACACTGATTTTAATCAATCTTGTTAGTTATTGTTTTCTAGTGCATGTATCACTTCTTGTGAAGTCAAATAGCAGGTCTGCTGTATATATATTTTTGTTTGCATCATCCATCATGAAATGAATGTAACAATTAAACACATTTAGTATTCATTACCGGGCTCATACATTTTTGTGTGGTTATTTAATCAGTCCACCTGTGATTGGCTTATATTTTATGTCTTCTATTATTATTCTGCAGGCTGCGTGGATTTTTGTCGTGGTATGGGACGTCGCAGGTCGACCCAGCCTCAAATGGGTACCAGGATGGGCTGTCCTGGGAAAGTAAAGACAGCCGGCGTAATGCTGACCACATTACCCACAAAGTGCTGATGGTCTGTAAAAATATGGGACGCTCTGCCCATATGCCCGATGCGCCGAAAGGCGTGAAAAGGGAACATTACTTTACTTTTTTTACTGATTATTATTTTGAGGTGCAATACCCCTGGCCAGCTTTGTGAGATAGCTGAAATCTCTCTCTAAGCATATTTAATTATATTAACTCTATAACTGTTTCATTATATGTGTATAGGAAAAAACTCTATATACATTTACGGTGATTATGCTAAATTTTGTTTCGTTTCACGATAATTTATATCCTCGTTGTTTCTTCATTGAATTTTTTTGTTTGTTTCTTGAGCCTAATGATGAGGGATAGAATGACTTGGAAATATGTCAGACATTTGATTTATTCGTTGTGGATGTTTCTTTTGATGTTAATTTCAGACAGGTTTGGGATTGCAAGTTTAAAATAAGATCAAGTTTGTAAAGGACCCTTTTTACATCAATGGCACATCAGTCATATGATATTAGACAATGCCTAATGGCGCCTAGTGGTTAATGTGGTCACCAAGCCAGCTTTTACTTCTTAGAACGTTACTGGTACCATTTTGAGGCTTGATTGACCTGGGAAAATTTCCCCCTAACCTGCTCAAGTAAAGCAGCAGTGTAGGCCCAATCACTGTCATGCAGGATAATGACACAACTGGTGAGCATTCTCCGCATTTTGTCTTGGATCGACTGATGAAACTTCTTCAGGTTTTACAATAAACTTTTGACGTTATTGTGGTCCCTCGTGTCATAAATTCCATCAAAAATATTCCCTAGTGTTTCCTGAACATTGTAAATGTCTTTTTTTTTTTTTTTTTTTTGTTTGCTTGAATGTTTTTGGGGCTTGTTTAGAGAGTGAGTATGCATCCACTGTTTTAAAGGTTTCTTCTTCTCCATATTCACAAAGTGAACCCATATCTCGTCCCCAGTCACTATTATGTCAAGGAATCCCTTCTCATATCCATATCCCCAGTAATGCAGAAGGAACAGGATTAACCCTTTCGACCCAAAAAGCCAAGAAACTGACACTTCCGTTAGGGAACGATTTATTTTTTTGATGAAATAGAGATAGTGCCCAATGCAATAGTATTTTCTGATGGAACATTGAGATTATAATAGAAGTGTTAACTCCTCCGAAACTGGGACAAATACGCGGGTTAAACTTTCATTTTGCCATTATGACTTCAATGTTTAATTCAACAGTCACATTTTCAGCCCAGGTTATAGTGCATTTCTTAATTTATTGAGACAATCAATAAAAGTAAACTGTTGCTGGAGTTATATCCCTTTAAATTTTTTATATTACTTTCCTTGAAAATGTGATTTTTAAGAATTGTATTTTGCTGTTATCTTCTTTGAAACCATGTATCTATATGTGTCTGAGGCAGTACATTTTTCTGTCTCCCATTTAAAAAAAAATACTGGTGCCAGTATTACAGGGGATGCGTCAGGTGAATGTAGGGGCAATGACTAAAGATACTGCAGCGGTGGAGACAAAGATGAAGATGAAGACGGGATAGTAAATTTAGCGTTTTTATTAGATGCCCATTTTCGTTATGCCTACTTAAAGTGCAGCGGTGAAGACCAAGATGAGGTAGAAGATGGGAGAATAAGACTTTCTTTCACTATCCTTGGCAAAGCCTAACAGTTAAATCTAGTTATAAATAAATCTGTGATGTAGTGTATTTTAAGGCCTATCACTTACACCTTTGTGACAAAGAATATCTAAGGGTTACCATTACCATGCTGTATAATTCATCAAAGCAACTTTTCATCCTTTGAAACTGTATTATATATGTGTGTCTCTGAATATGTGTATATAATACCAACAGGTTGTTATTGATTTGTGCTGTGCCATATTAATTAGGAATGTACTAACATATTTAGTAAACTGAGTCACAGCTCAATAATAGTCATAGTAGTTAGATTTGTTTGTCTGATTGCTTCAGTCCTTGTGGTGGTCCAGCTTCTGAAGTTGACTGTCAGAGATGTGTATGAGATACTCGTTCTAGCCATCTTACATTCTGTTTTCTCCTGTGCGGTCACATAAATCTGCAGTAAGGCCAAGTGGCCAGTAAGCAGGGTTGCTTCACCACCATTTATATCATGTTGATCACAAACAGTTTCATTTTTAAGTTCTTAACTCTTTCAGTGCCAGACAGGTGTTGTTTCACAAAAATAAACAGCTAGGGGCTGGAGTAACATAAGCACTATAGGTTTCACAGATTGATAGTTTTAACTCCACATTTTTCCCGGCATAGCTGTTGGGCTACTCCTTTTAGTTTCCAACTGCCAAGGGATTTTTTTACATGTGCAAAAGTACACACGGGCCCCCTATCTTACTACCCAGAAACCAGAGGAAATTACTAGAAATGTACATGAAAAAATCCCAGCCTT